CAAAAGCCTAGAGTGCCCTCTAGCGGCTGTCAGTGTGAAAATAACAAACAAGTAGATTTTCAGTGGTACAGGAGTAGCAGATATAGGTACACAAGTTTAGAGCGCCCCCTATCGGCTGACTGTGTGAAAATAACAAACATGTGAAATGATATATTTTAGTCGCACCTGAGTATAAGTTGCAAACCCAGCCAAAGGATGGAAAAAAGTACGACTTACAGGAGTAGCAGATACCGGCGCACAGGCCTAGAGCGCCCTCTGGCGGCTGTCAGTGTGAAAATAACAAACGTGTAAAATGATATATTTGAATACATCAGTCGCACTTGAATATAAGTCACAAACCTGAAAAAAAAAAAAAGTGCGACTTAGGTGCGGAAAGTACGATGATTAAATCTGTAGTTAATTGTATTTCTTTTTTACTGTCACTTGTCGTTTTTGACACTGCAGTAGCTGTGTGTGTGTGTGTTGTGTTTTTTCGGAGGTAGAGCATTTCACTATGACTCCATCGAAAAAAGAGCGTTTCCTCACATCAGGAAGTCAGAACGCCCACACACCCACAGGCACACATATACTGAATGTGTGTGTATGTGTGTGTATCTACACACACACACACAGACAAACACACTCTCAAGAAAATTTAAATATATACATACATATATATATTGATCCCCTACAGCACTACTGACGACTGACTTTAGTTCGAACGGTGAAAACCTTACCCCGAAACAGGTAAAAAAATAAGTGTCCGTTTGTCTCCCTCCAGATCAAATTGGTGAAAACGAGAAGAGTGAAAATAAAACTGGAGAAAACCGTGAAGCAGATGAGGCGAAGGAGAAGAAACAGGAACAGACATGTCGTGTTGTGTTCTGTTATTAGGAATAAATGAGAAGAGAAAAAAAAAAAAAAAAAAAAAAAAAAAGCTCCAGGCAGTGATTATTAACACACACTCACACACGCTCACAGTACTCACAGTTCATACAATAAGCTGCGCTGTTTTTTTTTTTTTTGTGTGTTTTTTTTTTGAAGTGATCAAAGTTGAATGTGACTTTGATCAGCCATCAAAGTTTGCAGAAAATCCAATCAGATTTGTCTACCACCTCCCGTGGTCGGTTTCGGTCGCCGAAGTAAACCTGAATGAAAAACTTCAAACGGGGAAGTCTTGAAATAACACATAAACCTAGTGATGGAGGCACGTGTCGGTCAACAACTCTAACTCCGATTTTGGTTTCGGTGAGCCTCACTGTGAGAGAATAAAAATAAAATACATTTCTAATTACTTTGAGGAACATTTTCCCTTTATTTTATTTCTCCAGTCGTTATTATATTAACTCGTATATAACTTTAAATGTTTTTGTTTTTTTTTAAATATTTTATTTAACTTGTCTTATTTAAATTCCTATTTAGTTTTTTTTTTTTTTTAAAAAACTCCAGCAACTTTGTTGTTAATTTCTTAAATCTATTTACAACTACTAAATATATATGACCCGACAGACATCATACATGTGTGTGTGTGTGTTGGTGTGTGTGTGTCCACCTGTCTCCAGGTATCCCCTGTCCCCTCTTTTGACTTGTCTTCTTGTAGGTCTTCTTCTTCGCGTTTTCTTCTTTCTTCTGTTTTTCTGTTGTTTCTGTTACTGTTACTTCTACCTTTAGCACCACTTCCTGTTCTGTTCCCGCCCACTCTCTCATTACCACATACGCATACAACACACACACACACACACTATTTCCATTTCTCTCATTCAAGGTTACTGCTCCCCTGTAGTCTGACCACAGACGTGTGTGTCTGAGTGTGAGTTTGTGTGTGTGTGTGATGTTAGCAGCAGCATTAAAATCATATGATATTACCAGGAAACTGAATCCTCATCACACATCAGTTAACACTCAAGAAAAACAATAAACAATAAAAAAAAAACAAAAAAAACAAAACATTGATGTTATCATTCTTATCAGCGGCGGTATTGTCATTCGACTCTTGTCATTATTGTCCACATCAAAAACCGCTAGGCTAAATGCTAACCCGCACAATCCTAACCCTAACCTACGGCCACTTAACAACATATGGATGAGATACGACTACGTATTCAGTACGTACGTACGTACGTACGTACTTCAGTGGTTCCTAAGGCGGCGGCTGTCACGCCTTCAGTGGTTCCTGAGTCGGCGGCTGTCACTCCTTCAGTGGTTCCTGAGTTGGCGGCTGTCACTCCTTCAGTGGTTCCT